CCAAAATTAGGATGGTTAGAGGAAAGAGTGAAACTTAGATTGCTTCTGCCTTGGGCTTTTTGAATGTCTGTACCTGGCCTATGTGCTTAATGTAAACCAGCTGCCAAACCAGTCAAAGCATCTGTAGGCATAATGGCAAAGAAGAGCTTGAAGTTGTGGGTTGATGCAAGACAATGAGAAGGCCTTTGTAGAAATGGATGGAAGTCCCACCCTGGCATAAGCAGTGTTGTTCAACTTTTATGGAAGTCTGGCCCTAAGCAAATTACTATTTGCTATGTGCTTGGTAGAATAAAGGAGGCAAAAGTAAAAAGACTGCTTGCGAGCCAGTCAGCAATCCTGATGCAGTTCATCATATGGAAACAATCTATAGACTGTAATAGGGATTAAAAAACAGGGCACCGCATTCAAATATAAACAGCCAAGTAAACAAATTGTATGGAATAACTGTAAGACATACAGAATTTAATAGGGATGAGATGTTTTTCATCTATTTTTCCTTACTGTGGTATATCAATGATACAATTCTCTATTGCTTTTTATGGGATAGTTTAAAAAAATCCTTACAGAGAGGGTATCATTTTCCACTGAATACTCGAGGACTATTCAATTAGGTTTTACAGACATCTATTCTTATTGTTACAACGTCCCAAACTGTGCAGGGTGCCAGGGTGGAAAAAAAAAACCCATGCCCCAGAAGGTTACAATCTAACTCACTACTGGGTAAATGACTGTGGATGTCTCTGTTGTGTCTGATGGCACCGCATGCAGGTCTGTGCCTCAGTTTTTGATGTGATCAGTGCAAATAACACAATAGTAGGGATGGGACAGAATAGAGAAAAAGAAGGATTAAAGCAATAAAATTATTCCATTCACATGTGTGCATGGTTTGGTGGTTTCAATCAAACCACCACGTTGACGGCATCTTTCTTAATAATTTTTCACACTCTACACATCAAAGCTGAAAGAGGGGGAGCAATTCAACAACACTTAAACAATAGATAGGGTCCAGCTTAAATCCACAAAAGCAACACAAAAACTCTGTCCTTTAGTCAACCAGTTGTCTATCGGGTCTGGATACCATATTACAGGGATGGGAAACATGATACAGACCATGTGTCGCCAAACTTGGGGAAAATGGGGTGGGCCTAAGCTTCATCTCTGCACTGCCTTTATCAGTCTACCTATTTTTTTAAATACAGGTTCAAACAGTACAGTTCTGCCTGCCTATGTTTTTTACCATATGAAATCAATAAAAGTAACTGCTAAGAAAAATATTAAGTTCCTGCGATCACTGTCTTGCTTTTCACTTTCAACTAAATATTAGATCCCCAGCCCAGATCCGAGTCCATATTTCTCGCTGCTTCAGCAACAAACTTGCCAAAACATCAAAGTGCTTAAGGAGACAGAGCCCTCTAAACAAGGACATGAAAAATCAAACATCATAAGCCTTTGAGAAAAATGAAAAGTCATATTAATAAAGTGGAAAAATCAGAAAAGGTATATAACGGATGTCAGCGAACACAACATTCAAAACAGGCTGCTTCCCCAAAACACAAAGTTGAACAGAAAGTACAATCCACGGCTTAGTCAATGAATCTGAAAACCATTTGTCAACTGTTTTTCAGGAAAGAGACAAAGCTGTTAATCTGAATCAAATCAGTTCTACAAACATTGCAGTCTCGGGAAGAAAAACCGTCCTTCCTGGCTCTATCCAGCCCAAGACCTGGATGTTCAGGGTTAATAGGTAAACTTAGAAGGGATGAAGAAGTTCAATCTATACATACACCAAGCAATTATGAAAGGGCTGTAAGCACATACATGTTAGCACCATGCCTATTGTTTTGCTTTGGGAGTCATATTGCCAGCACAGACAATAATACATTCATATAATCATCTCATCTAGTCAATGCAATCACGGAGACAATATATACATACTGCTGGCTTCACAACCCCCATTCGTCCCCGGAGCGAACATTTCATTACCAAAGACCTGGCAACGATGGCTTTATTTTTTTTTTTCCCCTTCAATAAAGAGAGAAAGATACTGAAGAAACTCGTGCTTTACCTTTTTTCTTTATTTTGCTTTCTGGATTTGTGCAACAACCCTATAAGTACAACAGCTGCTCGGATCCCTGCCCTTTTTGAATGCATCCTGTCAGCCGGTTGTGACATAGTTAAGGTGACACTTCCACAGGCTCTGGTGCCAATATTCCCAACCCTTGGCAAGAGACCTGCTTGGAAAAAAGTGTAATCCTCCCTCCCTCTCTAACATGCACACTTCTCTTTCTCTTCCTCGCTGTCCTCTGCCTTGTTACTCCTGCCTGATAGGTAAAGCTCTTGCTGAATCAGGTGACTTCTCTCACACCAGCGACCTTCAAGTCACCTGCCTCCCCTTCCTAGCCGACTACAGCCTCTGATTCTGCTGCTGCTCTTCTGCTCGGGGTTGCTAAGCTGCCAGCACACAGAAGGGTGGCATTTCCAAGTCAATTAAATCACTTTAAACTGTACCAGCCTCAGATGTGGTCATCCGCTCTCCGCTATCTGTCATGCCTGCGTTTAACCAGCAACCTCAATCCTTCCCCCCCCCACAGCCTTCTCAAAGAGCTGTAGATGGGGGCTTCTCTTCGGCATGTGAAAGTTAGCAATAAACTAAAGCAGAGGCAGAAATGACACACTCTGAGCATTTTCAGCGAGCCCTGTCATTTCCTGGATGGTACCCGCGAGCAAACTGAATGGAACGACCATGCGGAGCTGGGACCCACACGCAGAGACCAGCTTTTAGATGTCTTCCTCGGCTACTGCTCGTGCACGAAACGGGATCGGCACAGAAGCAGATTTGTGTGCGTGTGAGTATGCGGTGTGCTTTCAGGAGCCGGGGGGCATTTCAAAGCAGCACTGATTTTATGCTGGGGAAAACAAAGAATCCTAACAAAGGTGGGTGTCCTTCGTTACTGGCACTTGGGGAATTTGTCACTTGGCAAAAATGGAAATGCATGAGCTAAGTCAAATGGAGGGGCATGGGTTTGAGAGGCTCGCACGGCACCAGGTTTACCCAGTGGCTTTTATAATGAATGTAAGGATGTCTTTTTCCTTCTCTACAGAATGTCATTTGCTGATTGCTGCCGGGGATTAGATGACTTCTAAGAACATTAAATGAGCAGAGTCTTTATTTTTAATGCTTGGGTTCGGCTGTCACAACTGTATAGTGCTTATACTAGAGGTTTTAGCTGATACAGTTTAACAGTGAAAACCAGTACTGAAGTTCTGTAACACAGCCTTTAACATCTAAAAAGCAGGAAGAGTTTGGGGCAGGGGATTGTTTGGGTTTTTTTTTTACTTTGCAGATAATCACTCATTTTTCTTTGACTTATTAAATCTTTTCCATTTGGGACAGATCCTCAGCTGGTTAACTTGGCATACCGCCAGCATCTTGTTCATTGTGTTCATAATGTATTTCATGAATAAATCTCCTACTCTGTCTCAAAATGTACTGAGCGGTTGCTGTTAACAGGTGCGGCAAAATACAGACCCTCTGGTTCACTCCTTACATAGGGAACATGTCACATTCCCTTTTCCAGGGTGTTTTTTTAAGTAAGCTGTAAATGATCTACTTCAGAGCATCAGCCTCAACACCTTTCCCTTGCAAAGTGTTTGTTACCATGGTGATAAAACATGCTGGTATCTCTCTACTTTCACCCCCCTCCTTCTATCCTCCCATATCACTTCCCATTCATGCTGGTTTAATTTTCACATTAGAAATAAACAGGGGACCAGCTCCATCACTTTGAACATGCTACTTGCCAGATCCAGCCCATTGATTTAAGGCATGTGCAGCAAGGGATCAGGTTGGCAAAAACCTAACCTCTACAAGAGGAAAATATGAGCAACTGGCCAAAACACCTAGAGTTGTGCTCCTCTTTTCCTCTACAGCCAGGATCTTAGACGCTATAATAAACCTATTAGATCATCTAGTCTGTTTAAATTGTTCCCTATGGTGTACTGTCCAAGTCTTTATCCAGTCTACTCCTACTGTATTAAGAAGACAGCCCCTTTGATAATAACAGTGAAGTTAGAGACATCCTCCCTACTGAAGTATAAGTATTCACTGGATCTTATTTCCCAAGATACTAAGAGAGTAAGCATCTAGTCTCATATTCTTCCTCAGACTCCAAGGCCATGCACAGACCACTGGGCACTGTTTGAACAATCAGATATTCATTTAAATTGGGATGCCGGGGCGGGCACGGGAGAGTCTCTTTACAGAGCAGACTGACTAAGAACTATCATATATATGTATCAATCAGCAAATGATCTCTTTCCATAGCATCCTGCAGCAGCCTTCTTCAGCAGGTAGTTCATAAGGGCACAGTGGGAAACGCATCAATGCAGTAGACCAACTGGGTCCTGCTAAAGACAGTCCTGCTAAAGGCAGGAATACAACTGCCTGCACCATGTCGAGTACTAAGAAGCATATCGAAAACGAGATAAACCAAGCAAAAACTTGCAATGAGAACTTGAGAGTAATTATCCTTAGATCTCCACTAACAATAGGACTTAGAGGAAGGGGATGGTAGAGGAGGTGCAATCAAACAACATTCACTCATAAGTCCCCTACTTTAGGGTCTTAATAAGGAGATGCACATGAATCTAAGCTACCTGTAAGTGGGGAAGTCAATGATTAACCCAACAGAGGGCTTTCCTGGCAAAGTCCATAACAAACATGTTTGTTCAGGAGCTTTAAAAAGCAACAGACAATGTCTGACATGGAACAGGCAGCTTTCATTTCTTCTTTGCCTCCTGATCTCAGCAGTCGTTCAAGGACAGTTCATCCATGTGAAAATGTGACCCTTGCTATGCTGTGAAAAATCACTGAGCTTGTGCTGAACTTCTGTGTAAGTGCTGGATGCACCTGGATGCCTCCGGGCAGCTTTAACTGCTGTACCCAATGTTTCAAAGACACTGAGAACACAGAAGGCAAGGGAAAAAGGGCCTCTTGCTTGGCTGAACTCACTCTGCCACCACTCTCCTGCTGTTTTGACACCCACGGCTACATACAGTTTTGCTGGGGTGTGCAATACATATCTTGGAGGAGAGTAATGATAGTACACATTTACAACTAGTAGACCCCCAAATGAACATATACATCAGTACTGTGGGGCAGCAGCTGGCAACCTTTTATGGTCATGGAGCTGGACTGACCCAGCTCAGGTCAGACATGGGAGGGGGCTAGCACCTAGCTGGTGCCACTTTTCCCCATGGCAGCACCGGAAAATGATGGCAGCTGAAGCCCCCTGTCACCAAATGCTGCCTTGCATCCATGAGCTAAATCAAACGACTCCATGGGCTAGATCCAGCTCACAAGCCATTGGTCTAGTCACCGTCCCCATGAACTGCAATACAACACGTTCCTTCTCATGGTAAAGCTCCCTCCATCGTGAGAGGAGATCCATTTTAGCACTACTCTAAAGTATTGCAGCTGGCATCTAACACCCACCAGGCACAATTTTACGAGAGTCACACGTGAAATAGGAGGAACTGTTAGGAAGTTTACAAAGAGGGAAACCCATACTTCACAGCTCTGCATCTGCATACCACAAATATTCGTTAGCCTGATATTCACCTTATAATGACTGAAATTCTTATACCTTCCCATGCTTAGTTCACCCTGATTCTTTGATGTGATTTCACATGCTGAAATACCAATAAAGCACCATTTTTTTCAGAGAATATGAACATGCCATCAAAATCCGTCTCGAGGGAAAGCTGCGTTTAAGATAACCTCTCATTACCCGAAAGTGCCATGCTTAAGGTTAGCAGGATAACCTTAGCTCTGCCTCTTGTGCACACACTTCAATACAGTCTTAAGTTATACAATCACATTCTTCCCATTGCACAGAAGCCCTGTAAAATTTCTTTGCAGCCCTGTTATAACCAACTTTTTACACCACTTTAGCCACATCACTGTAAAAAAGAGATATATTCATCAACATGATTAACACCAGAATGGTTGAAGTGACCACATGATCAGAGAATCATAGAAAATGAGGGTTGGAAGGGATCTCAGGAGGTCACATCTAGTCCAACCCCCTGCTCAAAGCAGGACCAGCCCCAACTACATCATCCCAGCCAAGGCTTTGTCTAGCCAGGTCTTAAAAACCTCCAAGGATGGAGAGTTTACCACCTCTCTGGTTAACCTGTTCTAGTGTTTTACTACCCTCCTGGTCAGAAAATCCTTCCTAATATCTAACCTAAACTGCCCTTGCTGCAACTTGAGCCCAAGGCTCCTTGTTCTGTCATCTGCCACCACTGTGAACAGCCCACCTCCATCCTCTTTTGAACCACCCTGCAGGGAGTTGAAGGCTGCTATCAAATCCCACCTCAGTCTTCTCTTCTCTAGACTAAATAAGCCCAAGTCCCTCAGTCTTTCCTCATAAATCATGACCCCCAGCCCACGAACCATTTTTGTTGTCCTCCGCTAGACTCTCTCCAATTTGCCCACATCCTTTCTGTAGTGGGGGCCCAAAAGTGGACACAATACTCCAGATGTGGCCTCACCAGTGCTGGATAGAGGGGAAGAATCACTTCCCTGGACCTACTGGTAGGTACCATCTCATTCCAGCAGACTTATGCATGTGCATAGCTTCACGTGTATGAGCAGTCATTGTGAGTTAAGCACATAGGTAGGTCCTTAAGGGGATCAACATTAAAGTCAGTGTGCTCAATTCAAAGCCTGCTGAAGTTAAGAAACTTTCAGCTTATTTTTGGATCAGGTTTCGAAGCAAAGGTCTTTCAAATCGCTGAAGAGGACAGATCAATTTGAAGAGGTGCGCATCATTACTCTACATTTTCCCCCCCGTAAAATAAGCCCTATTATAAACTGGAAGGCCTCATAGTTTCTCAAATCAAACATTAAAATGTGCACTTCCATCCCATTGACACTATGTTATATGACACCAGTCTCTCTGAGGCAGCTGGCAGAACTCAAGTAGATTTGGGGGGGAGAAATATAATAAACCTTGATGCCGTCTTAATCATCCTTTAATGCAAAGAGCACTTAACTCCCACTGTGAAGCCTTTTAATAAAGTATTTGTTGGACCAACAAATCCCTTTGTTCTTGCTGAAAATATCTGGCTGCTCTCCTTCAAACAGAAATCATCTGAGTCTGACAAATTTCTGAGGCAATTGCAAAAAAAAAAAAATTATTAAAACCCATTTTCATGCCAAATTACATCAAGTCTCTGGCACCTTATTACTTTACATTTAAAGGAGGGGGAGAACGCTGATTTTTAAAACTTATACTTCTCTCATTAAACAGGCAGCTTTGAATTTCATTGAGTTTCTCTGTCTCTGGAGACACTTCCCTCCCCTCCCCACCCCACCAGACAAGTTAAGTATCAATCTTCTCTTGTTTTATGCTGAAGTGGTTTTGTATTGATTTTTAAAGATGTTCAATTTTCTCATGTTTGGAAATAGAGAATCACTTAGGTAGCTACACTTAGCCAATATTTTCTTTTCAACCTAAATATGGCAAATGTGTCTCCAGTATAATCAATTTATTTTGGCTCTCATGTTCAGCCTATTTGTAATTTATAGGAAGACAGAAGCATAATGAGCAAGTATTACTAGAATGGTACTTTCAAAAATGGTTGTGGTGAAGGCACCAGTTTGATCTCTAGAGTCCCAATCCCCTGATCTCCCAGGGCCTCCCCATATGACCTTGGGCAAGTCAGTTCACCAAGAAAAAGGTTTTGGGCACCTAAGTGTTAGGTGCTGCATGGCCTAATGGTTCGTTCTCTTCTTTTAAAACACACCCAGAAGAGGAAAAGGTGGTGCTGCTACCCCCCACATATATAACAGCCCAATGGTTAGAGTGCCCATCCAGGATGCTGAGCCCTGTGACTGAAGAGGCATTTCACATGAAACGATCAGTGGATCACACCAGAGCCCAGGGGGCCCAAGCCCGTAGACTGCCCTAACCATTAGGCACAGAGTCATGCTGTATGCTGTACCCTCTCTCTGGGCTAATGAACCTTGAGAATTGTTTTCTGTAGCTGCAACAGGAAGCGTCAAGAGTATCCCCACCCAGAACCTGCTACAGTCTGGGGCTCAGGGCCCTTTCCTGGGAGATGTGGGTTTGACTCCTCCTCAAGCAGACGTGGAATTTGAACCCAAGTCTCCCACGTCCTGGGCCCATGATTTAAACACTAGGTACTGGATAAAACAAGCAGCAGCAGCATCACTGCCTCTGCCTGTTTCTTAGAATGCAGTGGCTGCCCCATTATATTTTCTAGGGGACCTTATCGTAAAAGGCAGCTCTGAAGATGCCGACCAGATGGTCCCCGTCTGGGTTAAAGACAGAGGAACATCTACGTCCTGGATCCATTCATGGACAGAACAAGGTGCAGAGCTGCTCAGACTAGAGGTGCACATATGCAGGGGAAGAACCTCAATGTACCTAGTGAACTATAAAGACAAGTGTGGTCAG